TAAATCGTTTACTTTGATCGTTGATCAAAGTAAAAGCATGTAAGTGAACACGCGTATCCGGTTTAAATTACATAAAGAACGTCCGGGAATGAATGGGAATGCGCGCTCTAGCGAGTATATTGACAAATCAATAAACCCGCGAACTATAATAATTTAAATTTCTGAAAGCCCACTTCATTAGGGTCAATTTGGTATATCACTCTTAAATTTCAAAAATGGATAAGGGTAGAAGAAGCTTGTTTGAAAGGGAGCTGTTAGCAAAACGAGTGATGGAGTTCTACAACACGACAGCCAACCGAGACTCCAAGGTGACCTGGAACTTTTTTAAGCAGGAAGGAATTCCAAGTTCAAATGTGTATTCCTACATAAAAAAGTTCAAGGATTCCGAAAATGTGCAATTCAAGAAGCCAGCTGGTCGTCCGGCGAAGCTAGCGACCACTCGAGTGAAAAATAGAATTGAAAAAATTTTCAAAACCAAGCCATCAACGTCAGTAGCTGTAGCTGCCAGGAAAGTCAAAATTTCCAAAAGCTACCTGGGGGAAATTAAGGTCCATAAATTAGGAATCAAAGCAAGGACCAAAAAACCTGCACCAAATTACAAGCCCGTACAAGAAAGTCGGATCAAGGATTGCTGTCAAAAATTGTTGAAGAAAATGCGTGGAAAAGTAGTGATCCTGGATGACGAAACGTATGTTCCGGTTGACCCTTCAAATCTTCCAGGGCGTCATTTTTTTCATAGCTCGGATCCCTCTGAAGTGGCTTATGAAGAAAAAGTACGAAAAAAAGACAAATTTCCAAAGAAATATTGCATTTGGCAATGCATCTCCAGTCACGGATATGTATCAGACCCGGTAGTTCTCGAAGGGAATATCAATCAAGATATTTATCTGAAAAATTGCGTCAAGGCTGGATTGGAAGCATTTATTAATAGGTTTCACAAAAATGATAAAGTTTTGTTTTGGCCTGACCTCGCCACTTGTCACTATGCAAAGAAAGTGACCGAGTACCTCAGAAAGAAAAATATTGATTTCGTACCAAAAGATATCAACCCACCTAATGTACCCCAACTCCGCCCAATCGAAAAATTCTGGGCACGTTCTAAGTCAGTATACTCCCGGCTTCAAGATGTGCCTGACACCTTTCGAAAATTCAAAGGACGATGGAAGAAAATCACCTCGGAAGTGGCAAAAACTTCGGGAAAAAATTTAATGAAAAATCTTCGCAAGAAAATCGAACTAGTCGCCAACGGGGGTGTGGCGGCCTTAGCTATTAATTAAATTATGTAGGTACGTATTTGGTATTATACATATGCAAAAAGTTTAAAATTCCGATAACTCATTGTGATTTTATGACCACATTTTCAGACCATTCCCATTTATTCCCGGACGTTCTTTATTTGTTTGTTGCATTCAAAAACTCTATATAACTCTATGAACATTAAGTTTTAGCCTCGTATATATTTTGCGTTGCTTAAATACCAGATGAAGGAATTATCTCATCTACACTGTATGTAGAATCACACACAGCAATCGTGTGTACCACTAATTTCATAATACTCCTAAACAGTAGTCATTATTTGAAAAAATACATACATTCCTGAAATTATGGCCGAGCTCGTCGCCCTGTTAACCCAAATTGGAGATCCGCCATCAGGAATCCACCTCCACATCGTGACAGACCAACACAATTTGGATACAAATTTCCCAGAAATTGAAATACCCAACACCTTATATAAAATTAGCTACTGGACACATTTTCTAGGGTCGAAAGTACTAATTGATCTACCTTCTATCCAACCTCATAGAATTAGACTGTCATCAATCCTTAGTATGCTGGTTGTCGTAGCCGTGTCCCCGCAGATTGAAGGTCTTGGCAAATCGCAGAATCGATTTCTGCATATTGACAAATTATTGCATGGCGTCAACTCTGCACGGAATTTGATAATGTCGTCGGAACTTAGGCGAAAGCACGTTTATGGTGAACAGGCGCCCTACTATTTTAGAGGACCTTTTACTATCTTTTGGCTAAGCGACGAGATTCCTGATTCCGAACAGAATTTTCCGACCAAGAGTTTCTTTACTAGGAATCTAGGGTCAAAGTACGGTAATCCGTTTGTCCATACAGTGGTATTTATGATTAAATTTCAAAACCACGCAAATCAGAGCGCCGATTCCAACATTATATTTTTTTGCGCACACTGTTCTATAACCTATAGCGTGAAATTTATTACCGTTGGCGTTATAGCTGATCGAGGGTCACGATTTGTTTGGGCGTCTAAAAGCATGTTAAGGTCGGGCACTTTTCAAAGTCGGTTGATTGAAACGATAACCATAATGGCTCCGGTAGAATTTATTGTTCATCGGCATTCCACTTTTAGTTTCCCATTTACAAGCACATGTGAAACTTCTGAGATGCAACCGCACCCATTCGAGAGGGACTTCAGGGCTATGGGATTTTATTGTGGGACTAACTTTTCAATACGTCACTTACCTATAGAAGACCTGAGTTCTACACTTACAATTCCAACCATTCATGATGAGAGTTACTATTCTGGGTACGCTAATTAATTAATTAATTAATTTCTTAAATTTAATTCTCTTCAAAAAGCTAATGGCATATAAGTGAAATAAACTATCTCAAATTAAATAATCGCTACTTTTTATGTAACACGTTGATTACAAATTAAATCCCTACAAACTAAGATAATATTTCCAGATCCACCGAAGTAATTACGGCAGACTACACCTTTGTCACTGACATTGATGAGTACAATTTCATAACTTGCTGGTCAAGATCGAAGTATGAGTTCGAAATATTTCTGATCCCATTTCAAACATTTTTATGGATAAGCCTCATCATCACGGCTTCAGGGATTGCATTACTTCTTACATTGTACCTTCGCTTAATACGCGCTGAGCGTTTGGTTTCTTCATGGGCACTCTTCGTGGCATCTTTGGCTGGACAATCGTATAGTCTGGTTGGACAGGTGGAAAAACGACTTGCAATTAGGATTGGATTGGGCACGTGGTTCTTGCTCTCCGTAATTTTTACACAAGGTAATCAATAATTCTACAAAAATCAGAATATTTAACTAATAATATTTAACATGTTGTTTCTTTCTGGCTTTTAGGATATATCGGAGTTCTTCTTAACTTCGTTTGTGCCCTATTCTCTAAAATTAGTGTGGATTATTTTGAGGATTTGGCAAAACCAATGTGCAATTATCAAAACATCTCAAACAACCTGAGCCCATGCCCACCTCATGTTTGGCTCAATTTATCGTTTTATGAAGAACACGCTTATCGAAAGTTAGACCAAGCTGAAGAGTTTCGCTTGTTGTCAGATGTTAAGGATGTTACGGGCATTTTGAACAGAAAGGGATGGCTTGGTGAAGCAGGTTCAGATACTTTCGCCAAACTTCTGAGGGGATCTGGGACATTTGCAACGACGTTCTTTACCGCCCTGTTTTCATTTGCAATGGAGCGGCATCCGAACATGGGTTTGATACGATCACCGCTTCTTGGTCTACTTTCAAGCTTTATGACCTGGGCCGTAATAAGCACATATCTTTAAAAACATAATTTTTTGGTGGTTCGGTAAATTCTAAAATCACCTTTTGAACAGGATCAAATTGATACTTACGAGGATTTGCTAGCCTTCAACCTTATGCATCCCTTAGAACGAGAATTCTTACCGGAAGGATTGAGTAATGTCCAGACAGCTACTCAAATGGATGAGCTGTACGAGAAAGAGTTACTAAAATGTGGGCGATCAGTTTGGGTTGATGCTACCATCCAGTTAAGGAACAAGCTTAATTACTTGGCCAGGTCGGTTTTTAAGTTAATTATGTGTATTCGTAGTTATTCTAAAAATAAGACAAATATCATTTAGAGACATTGTACGCAGAATGAAGGATTCTTGGATAATCCAAGAATTATTCATTCTGCGTACAATCCAAGTTGGATTGATGGAGATTTAGTTTTAAAACTTGGCCAATGAGTCTCCTAATAATAACAAATTGAGGGATATTGTCAAGCTCCTAAATTTTTGCTGGACATTTTCTTAGTCAAATTACAAAAATAGAAAGAAAAATAATTAAAAAACGCACTAAAAAACAAATTTTGAAAGGATATGCTCCACTACATTTGGGTTTGTCTCGAAGTGATTCTACTTTCACAACAATATCAATAACTTTTGTGTTCAGGCACTACTACTGGATAAAATTCTTCATGGGAAAACGCCCAATTATGCGACGGGCCAAAGCAATATATTTGAGTAACGAAGGCATCTCTAAAGTGGGACGAAGACTGAGGACCTTCATGGAAAGTGGATGCTACAAGTTCAAAAGGCAGGCGTTTTACTCGATCGGAATTGCGAGTAACATGAGAAATCATACAAAGTCAATCGTAGCCACGATGCAACGGCCGGATCTTTTTGAACCGTTGAATCTTTCGAAAGCAATCTCGGCCGTTTTTATTATTTTTAGTGGGATGCACCTGCTTTCAATTGTGGTACATTTGGTTAAAACGGTATATTATTATCGACGCAACGTTATCAACTTTTGGACAGGGTTGGAATCTAGTAATTGTTGTATGTTTTTTCGATGTCCAAAAATTGAATTGAAAGTTGTAAGTTGGGAGAGTCAATAAACAAATTTAGATTTATGAGCTTGAATTCAATAAATTGATACATTAGACTAATTATCCGCAACATAAATGAGCCCTTGAAATAAACTAATTGTGCATTTAGAGGAATCTATTTATAAATAAATGCTTTCATAAATTGGGAAATTTGAGGAGTACTTATGTAATTCGTAAATGCTATTATTATTTCTCGAAAAGGTTGTCTTATAAACATTTTATTAAACCATATGTACATATGTAATACATACATTAAAATGAATAAAAGATACTTTTGATGTATTTGTAAAATATTAAGACATTTTTTGAACTAAACGTCTTGATTTAATTTTAAACTAAAATAATTTTTAGAACCATCATTTAAGCAGCGGCCCATTCCTGCGTCCAATCTGCACCACTGCCCAATCCCCACAAGTGAACGAGGACACCTTCACTTGTGCTCATACCCCGAGTTGTGATGTAGCCGTCTGTAGAGACCGCGTAATTTTGAATGGTATAATAGTTCTGAAAAATTCAAATGCACACATACGTAAATCTCAAGCATAAAAATACCAATGTAGGTAAAAAATATTCTAACCGAAGTCAACTTACATAAGAGGTGCTAGCAATATCGGTGAAAATCCATTTTTGAGTGTCCGCGCTACTGCAGTCGTTCGTCACCACCCAGTTAACAACGGCCCCATCAGAATCTCCTGCACCGTAATAAATATCCATGCAGCGCTGATCTGCCGCATTTACGATTCTGTATGTAGTCGATGCCCGGACTTGTGGATCGGTTTTGCCAGATGTGGGATCCATGCCTACGTAGATTCCACTGCCATCCTGAAAAGTAAAGCAACCATATATAAGTACACACGTAGTAAAGCTAGAAATTGTTACAAAAAGATATTACACGCCCATTAAAGATTATTGACCTATGGTTCGGACATTCCTTGAATATCAAAAAAATCCCGACAACCAAATACTTGCCATTACTTGCGTGACTCCAACCATAAATTACTCCTTCAACTAAAATTATGGAAGTTCTCATGGCGCTCTAAATGCAAATCATATATGCCTAATTAAATATGTGGTACTTACAACTGGGATCAAGTAGAAAAGTTGATTCGCTGTGGGATAACAATACGCCGTACTAACGAACAGGTTGGGCGCTTGATTCTCGTTTGCGCAGTCGCACGTGAGACATCGCCAGTAAGTACTTCGGAGAAATATGTAATACTGCGTCTAAAACACCAAATTATAATTTTGATAAGATGTTAATTTCAATTATTTAATTAAATAATTTAACTTAAAAACTATCTAGCCTAACTTACACTAGCATCTCTGGTAGAGTCGGATAACGATGAGATATTTAACGGAACTCCGTTTGCCGATACAATATGCAGGGGTGACTCTGGACCAGGTCTTTGTATTCTGAGAAATTGAAGTAACACAAAATTTCAATTTTAGGAATAATTTGTTTACCGGAATTCTACTAAATAATAATTTAAAAATTTTACCCTTCCATAGCATCGTTTGGCTTACTGCTACTACAGTGGTAGAGTGCAAAGAGTAACACCGTTAAGGCTAGAAATTTCATAATTACTGGCAAAGTCGTGGGGTGTTGGGGTAACTTGCTCAAGTTCAAGTTGATCGTGGAAAGGGTTAAAAGGAACTGAGACGTGTAAAAGGTTGACGGTTAAGTTAAGTATGTTTGGATTTGGTTATGGATAACATACTTGAAAGTTGTAAAGGGTCACTGGCATTGAAATAAAATCGATTAAATCAGGTAAAACTTCGTCAAATGATAAACAAAGAACAATGTCTCAGAAATTAATAAAAAATATTGCTCATCCTGGAAACCCATTAACAACTTAGTACATAGGCCATAAACAATTCAGCAGCATTCATAACCATATATATGGTTATGAATGCTTTTTAACTATATAGTTAAAATTAGCTTCAGCGTTCAGACGACTACAATAATTCTAAATAGGGCCAACTGGGGCAAGAGCGAGCGAATTTCACGAAATTCATTATGTTTATAGCTACAAATGGCGAACAAACAAATTTCAAAAAATGTAAATTGTGATAAGTTATTGCACACTAGCCTGCAAGCCCGTCTTAAAGACAGGCCGATTTGTTGTCCCTGGTCTATTGCCTTATAATAATAAGACAGTTTTATCGCTGTATTGTCGATTTTAACCTTCATAAATAATTTTGTTAACGATGCTAAAGATTTGGCATTCGATCCCCAGACCACATTTTTAGTTTAATGTCCAAAATTTGTCCTGTCATTTGTCCTCATACGTAATCTCCAGACCAAATATCTACCTTAATTTTTTGTCAAAATTAATATCAAATCCATTCGGCTTCACTATTCCGCCTTCTGGGCTTTAAATCGCCAAGCCCGTCCCACGACGTCTATTAAAACTCATGTGAATGATTTTAAATATTCGGAAAAATAAAGCCAACGTACAGCCATTTGAAAATTCCCTCGATTTACTTTGTTTTACCAATATCAAACTATAAACAAAATTTCAGCTCAATCTTTGAAACTTTTGTCATTCAACCGCATTATGCAGTCTCCAGACCAAATTTTTGCTTCAATTTTTTGACAAAAATTTTGTCATTCGATCTTATAAGCAATTTCTAGACCTAATTTTTGTCTCCGTATTTTTGTCAAAACTTTTGTCAAAATTAATTCGGCTCTGTAGAATTTTCTACGTTACCAAGGAATTTTTTTACGTCACTATAAAAGCGAGCGTTGCGAACGAATTTTTTAACGTTGCTATGGAATTTTTTAACGTTGCTACGGAATTTTTGAACGTTGCTAAGGAATTTTTTCAGGTCCGGATGTCCATAATCATGTCCATAATCATGTCCATAATCATGTCCAGATTCATGTCCAGATTCATGTCCAGAATCATGTCCATAATCATGTCCAGATTCATGTCCATTATTATGTCCAGAATCATGTCCATAATCATGTCCAGAACCGTGTCCATAATCATGTCCATAATCATGTCCACAATCCCTGTGTCCTGATTGGCCAAACGGGAATCTCAACAGCCAATCAGAATGCTGGAATGTCACGGAAAATTTCGTCTGGACTTTTGTAAATTATAATATAGATTAGTTTGTCCACGATAGCCAGTAAGAATTTTTTTTAAATATTCAAATTTGAATGAGTTATTTAAGATTTAGTACGTGCGCGCACTTGCCCCATTGTTTTTGCAGAATATGGGGCAAGTGCGCTTTTTTGTGGGGCAAGAGTGAGTATGTCAGAAAATTGGTTGATATCAATCCAGCGACTGCAACACCTATTCATAATTAAATACTAGGCTCTTATTAACATTTTTTGTAGCAAAGTTTTCAAATTAGAGTGTTTGCGAGTACTCATACATGCCTTATAAGGGGACAGATTTTCATTCTTGTCATTTTTGTTTTTCCACTGATCATTATTGTTCATAGCTGCATAACGCTGCAACTTATTTGGATCGAACTTATCTTGCGAAACTGCACTTTCATCAAAAGGTATGATGCCAGTTGCTCGAAAACGTTAAAAAAGGTTCGAAAACTGCGGTTATCTTGAGACCAAGTTAAGACCGATTTGTTAATTGCTTTGGGGCATGTCGATAGATTTTTCTCAGCCTAAATCAGCAGGAAAGGAGATAGGCCACGTTCATTTGAGTCCATAGTTGTGTTCCTCCTATTCCATGTCTTATTCTCAGCCTTAACATTGATTTTGGAAATTGATGAAATTTGACACATTGTCCTACGGTCAACTTTTTGAAATTGACATCATTAATAGATGTGCAATGTGATCCACTTGCCACCGACCATATATACCCCTGATGGTCTTCTTAGTATATTTTCGAACTATATTAGGTCTAGAATTGCAATTAAAATTATTTATTCGGAAATCGCTCTTGCCCCACAAAAAAAGCACACTTGCCCCACATTTCACAAAACTGAGGGGCAAGAGTGCGTGAATTTTAATTAAATTTTGAGGCAACCACGGTAGTTGAAATTTTGTATACAAGTTCCATAACTAATGAAGACTTGGTCCTAAAAAAATTGGATTTTTTTGCCATGCAGTTTAGAAGTAATCAAAATTTCAAAAAATTTTAAGTGATTTTGCTTTGTCATTTCTTAAACACCCTTTCGGAAAATTGATTCCGTGATAGTTCTGGGGCAACTAGATATACAAACTTTTATGAACAATTACAACAACTAACTACTTAACAATGTACGCTGCACTACTTGACCACAACTATCATGAGGTCAAGGATATAAACAGAAGTAAAATTTCACCATGAGCGCTCTTGCCCCAGTCGACCCTACGTACATACATAATATGTATGTACAGAACAACCTATGTTCTGCACAAGTCATTTCAAATACGTTTGTGACAGTTTATTTTTAACAAAATATTTACTTACCTACTGTACCCAAAGCATAAAAGAGTTTAATGGCTGAATCATTTTTTTAGAGTACATCGAACCCGGTTAGTTACTTTAGACTAACCGCGGTTAGTCTAAAGTATTCGTTATTCTTAGAATTGTCAATAAAGTAGTTTTAAAATTAGAAATCATCAAAATTTGAAGAAATACTGAAGAAATATAATAAAAGAAGAAGAAAAATGTCTACAATACTGCCCTTGTATTTGTTTTCGGAAACTGGTTTAATGTTTCAAATGACTTTATACATCCTTTGTCGAAATAGGTTTAGAAAAATATAAAGCCTTAGCTGCCTTTGTTTCTTGGAGTGTTTCTTGGATAAAGTGTTTATTATTCCTGAAAATAGGAAGGGAAGGCTGGTCATTAACTTGAGCTATTTAAGTAAAGTGTCTTCCTTTTATCCCTTTGGCGCCATTGGGCTTATTGCAGCTGGATTTGGATTCAATAGTAAACGTTTTTATTGCATTCCTTAAGCGACAGGTGACCTTCAGTAGTACATATCTTAAAAGAATGAAAAATAATTCAATGTACAGTAAAAAGTCTGGTTTCAAATTTAAAAATAATTTTTGCAATGATAATAAAGACAATGAACGGGTGAACAGGCGACTTTGCATACTACGTTTCATTCTTAGGTAAATGAAACGTCCCGACTCTAATGGTTTGTACTTTGTTCACAAAACACGGCGTATATGTATGAGTTTCTAAGTGGGGGCACTGCTGTATTGTTGAGAATAATTTCAGTCTTTCTAGAAAAAATAATGCGTAATACAAGTGGTTATGTTCATTTTTTTAAGTACTTTTTTTAGTACTTTTTCTTACTACATTGAAAATTCAAATTACTAATGCTCAACTAATGCTCGATCCGTTTTTGAAGGATTTACTAAATGTAAACGGTTCTGAAAACTTTGAAGGACCGAGAAAATTTGCAAAATTGCAGATTTTTAAAATACGACCACACTTCCTAGGAAATTACGTACGTCAGGTGGTCGTAAAAAGATCACTAAAAATGGTTCTTATTTTTTAAATCGAAAATAGTGTTATCGTCGTTTCACAAAGGATTCTATAATTTTGGAATGCTTTTAACGAACTGTAAAGAAGCATTTTGTTGTAAACTTTTGTTGTATTACTTATTTGCACATTATTTTTCCATATCATCTCATACATTCGTGGGAATGCAAAAGCCAAGTTGTACGCTTTGCACAAATATTTGCTAGATTTCGTTCCTTCTACCTAGGTAGAATTACAGAACTGGTGGAAAATAGCAAAGTCTGCAAATAGATATATCTGAAACTGGGCTTTGACCAATTCGCGAAATTGGATCACCTAAACAATCACGAATAATGCTCGCAGTATCGAAAAAACCAACGAAGCGCTGTATTTTAAAGATCTTAAGAAAAACCATAGCTGCAAACAGAGTAGCCGGTGAGACGAGATGAGGTGAGATATATCCCACCTCATCACATCTCACGCCCTCGTGAGATGAGTTGAGAGTTAAATGAGATGCTGGAAATTTAATCTCATCCCATCTCGTCTCATTTAAACTTTAGTTGAGATGAGACAGTTAAAAACTAATAGATCTCATCACTCAAAAACTCATCTCATCTCGCAATCGACACGTCTCATCTCATTTTACGGTCATCTCATCTCATCATAGATACGTCTCATCTCATTTAGCGGCCATCTCATCTCGTCTTATCTCATCTCATCTCATTTCCTAATGAGATCATGTCATCTCACCGGCAACTATAGCTGCAAACAATGGATCGTG